AATCATATTTGGAAAATAAATCTCCTTATGTTTTGGCTGCTCAAATACATCTTTAATTTTTTAATGTACCCGGTTTACAAATAGCGGCCATTTTTCTTTTATTCCGTGTGCCATTTAACGCGTTTGTCGACATTTACTCTTTTCTAAATTACTCAACTCTAGGTTGTTCTATTTTTTTGTATTAGTCGGCTAAGCTTTTAAAATGAAGATGACCATATCTTCATTAACAAACGAAGATATAAAGTTTTTTTAAAGTAAAGTATACGTAATATTAAAAATGATATTGCACAATGCATCCACAATGTGGAAATAAAGCCTATTTTTTGCGTAATATTACAATTTTTTATAATACTTTGAGTTAAATCTTTAAGTTTTCATATATACTGAAGTTTTGCATTACAGCAATTTACCATGTGTGCTATTTTCAGATTCTTATCTGGATTCGCAACGAAGATATTATATTTGAAAAATTTGGAAAAAATCCAAAATTCCAATTTTTAAGAGGATGTAAGTTTTAAGTGGTTTTAAGTGGTACCGATGATATTTTACAAAAAGTCCCTATACTGCTCTGTGAAAAAGACAGAAAAATTAAGAGAACTTTTTGGAGTTAAGCGATTTGATTAGCTTGTAGGTTGCAAGCAGGTAGAATAATTCTGCTGCGGAGGTTATAGCATAAGAATTTATTTGGTGGTTTATTTCTATTGCTTGAGTAGTTACAATAGCAAAAGTTCCAATATTGTTTTTGATTCCGTTTTTTGATGCCGTTTAGTATATATTTTATAGTAGTCGGTGTATTTATTCAGGAATTCTTCCACTTTTGGTTTCTAATTTTCTTTAGACATATTTTCTCGTAAGTCTTTTAGAAAGAGTAGTGGTCTCTGAGAGTTTCCATTTGTAAACCTGATACACTAAAAAATTTAATGCTTTTGAGCAGCCAAAACATAAAGAATTTTGTGTTCAAAAAATTCATTTTTTCATGACAGGTGATCAACCAATTTAATAAATTATGGAGAATTTAAAATGGATTCACTCTTTGTTAACACTGCTAAACTACCACCACTTGAACATCATTCTAACACCCACAGGCTCACATCAGCCATTTCCAGTATACGCTGACGACTCATATTAGAAACTTCTACAATAATAGAAGATATGGGTCAATTATAAATTACTGACAATTGGGAAGGTGATGCATAAAGCAATAAAATAGTGTAATCACAAACACCGTGTGGTTGCCTTGACTCACCTGATTACCTGGTTACGGCGATCCAGCGTTGCCTCGGCTGCACATTCCGTAGACTTTAAAGGGAGGCATGCATGATGACCGAGTTCGTTGGCGGCAGGGCGGCGTCCTTCCCGGAGGTCATGAGGGGAACGGCGACCCTTTGCCCTGTTGCCGTGGTGCAGTGTTGCGGCGCGATGAAGCTGCGGCAGGGTGTCGCGTGGTGCGCGTGGTGTCCTCCACTGGCATTCAGCATCACTAGTCCGGGCATAGGAGGCGCGGTTCGCGGCAGCGGTGGTTGTGGCTCGGTCCGTCGTCAGTCCTGGACTCGAGGTCGGGCACCCACAGTCCTGGCCCGTGGCGTCCGTCCTGAGTTAGCGACCCCAGAGGCTGCCCTTGATGTGGCGATGATGCATTCGGGCGGCGGCGATAAGGTAATGCATCCACTAGCGCTCCCCGTAAACCAAAGAAACTCGCCCTCGGCCTCTCTCGGAAAGGCACTCTCTGTCGCCTTCTCTATCGGAATGACCGAGCTTGTGTTCCTCAGCTGCCTGCTTACCTTTGCGGGTCACGTGGCCTTCCCCCACTTCGTTTCCGCGGTTTCTCTGCCCAATAGCGGCGTCATTGACGATCGTTTGAGTCTCGCCAAATTCCGTTGGAACTAAAACGTCACCCAAGTTCCAAGAACATGAGTAGCTGAATTGCCGTGTTGTGAGAGGTGGTGTCCGTATTTCCCGGTGAGTCAGCTGATGCGGCCGGGGCGCGCCTATGCCGAGACAATAAAGCAGCATACTACCGCGTCCTCGGCGCTTTTTACACGCACGCATGTAGTGAAAATGCACATTTCCAGGCCTCTTGCACAGCAATGTCATATCGAATAAAGTATTGAAATTGGCGTCGCACCTGACGCGTGCGACCATCCTATTACAATAGATACGAAGACAAAAGCACACGTAGTAGTCAGCATGTCACATAGCAAAGTTCTAAGTTCAATTCCCGATGGGCCGGATTTCAGAAACCAAATAAGTTTATATTTGGTCTATAAAATATGAGACTCTGATTGCTCTGATTTGTCAGTCTCATGATTTCCCAGTCAATTGTAATCTAATGTCAGAGAACTAACTTATACAACAGCCAAAGATTATTCTAGATCATTTTTCCCCACATGTCCTCAGACCCATCCATGTCCTCCGTCACTATATGGTTAATTCACCACATGTCGGAAAGTTCCCAGCGCAGGACGAAAAGAGGTGTGCAACGCTAACTTTACCCTCACTAAAAAAGAAAACAGTTTTTCGAACAGATAAATTCTTCTAACCTGTCCAACTTGTACGTCTTAACCATTCACATAAATTTTTGGTTACGTGGTCTGGGTCTAGTTTAATTCCCAGGTATCGGCATTTAAGTGCAACGTAACAGAAGAGACGGCAACTTGTGTGTGCCTTAACTGTTTCTCTGTTTTCGCGAGCGCCGCGTGAGCCGGGAGGCTGGCTGGGCTCGGCTCGGCCGGGCCAGGCTGCGCTGCGCAAGAGAGCGAGAGTGACTGGAAGCCGGTGTAATTGCCGCGTTACGTGACCCAGGGAGCGCGCGCGGGGCGAGGCAACGGCGAGGAGGGGGTGAAAGGGTGGGGGGCGACGGGACGGGGCAGGCAGGGGGCGCCGGAGGCTGAAGAGACGCCTGGAGCCAATGATACGCCGTCTCAAACTAATTCCCGACGGCGCGGCGTCGCCTGATCTTCTTCTTCTCTCGCCCCGTTCTCTCTTCCGACTACATTCTCCTGCGCGCCGCCCCACGCTCCAGCGATTCCTGTCTCTGTCTCGTGTCGGTGCGTGGTTGCTTTCTGTGCCGCTTCGCGTGCTTTTGCAATGCTTTCGCCCACGCACTTCATTGTCACTCTCTCAGTTAATACTGGGAATGATGGATCAGGGCATCAACTGATGCCACTATAGTGCCTCTGACTTGGATGTCCCGGAGTTTGTGTCCCAATGGTGTCTGGATTTTTGACACTAGCCAGATAACTAGGTCAAGTTCTGTCGCCCGGAGGAGAATTCTAACGGCCGGCTGCTCTGATCGGTACTTTTCCGAACTGTTTTCAATAAACACCAAGCTAATTTCCGAGCAGTACCATAACAAACGGGCCATACGCGATCTTTCTTTCTCTTCGTTGTATCTTCACCCCTTGCTCACTCCCACACTCACTTGTAGTACACTACCACACTTGTCGGGAGTCCACTTGGAAGCTTAGAGCTTGTCCCAGCTGGAGCGTTGCCTAGATGATGGGAGTTACCTGATTAGGGAAAACCCCGTTAGTCGACAGTAGGTCAGCTCTGGATGTCGCCATCCATCTGGGTAAGACCAACACCATCTCGCGAGGAGAAAACGTGTACTTCACTTACAATACTAATGACCTTAGCATTAACGCTCCCAGAATCAATGGCACTCTACGTTTGTGCGTTCACATTGCTTGCTTCTGCCTACCGTGTCGGACTTCCTCGGCCCTTGTTCGTCTGAACGACTCCAATCGTGTCAGATGCAAAGTACTAACGGCTGTTTTTCAATCTCGTGATGTAGGTATCCTCGTTCTTTCAATGAGTTTCGCGTCAGCGTCTCTCACTGTTTTTTGCCATGGACTGCTCTGAGATCGTCGCCTGAGATGGAAAGAAAACTCTCATGGAAGAATTCAGGCCAAGTTCTCTAAGCTATGGATCGCGCCCTCTCTCATTGCATTGTGTACATTTCTACTTACTTTCTCGTCTGATATTTCAAAATAACTATTGCCCTGAACTTATCTTGATCTTCATCTATGTCCCCTCAGAATTCTACTATATTAAATATACTTTTAAAGTTTCAAGCAAGCTCTTTCCAGATTTTATCATTTTATACTAAGCGAATTTCTCCAAGGATGTTTGCCTTCATTATTCTACGCGATTACTCGTAAGTATCTGCGGAAGTTTTCCACTTTCTTTGTTTTTACTACGGACATGCGGACACCTCTCCCCGTGAACACTTGTAGTGAAGTGCTGAAAGTGGCCGCGGCGATCGTAGTGTTTGCAGACAGCGTCGTCGTCTTTCGCTGGCCACACGTTGTGAAGAAGGGAAAGAAGCTCGGGCGCCGGTCCCCGGGGCGGTGAGGGGCGGGAGCGTGGCCCCGGGGGTGCTGAGCAGGGGGGGGGCGTGAAAGGGTAGGGCGGGGAGGGGCGGTGCTGCGCCCGGGGAGACCAGGGCACCGAAGCGGCGCCTCCGCCGTGTTACGCATAGCGCTGCCTCCACACCACCCTCATTCGTCGCGGCTCTTTCTGCATTTGCTCATTTCCGCGCCTCCCGGCTTGCTCCCTCCCTGCGAACTCTGCCGCTTACGTGAAAGATATCAAGATTTCTTGTATGAGTACGAAATGTGGGATGTTAAGACTGTTTTGATTTTTAAATTCACTCATCAAGTCGAGTCAATTACAAGAACAGATCTTTGCATACACTCTCTATAATACAGGGGTACAGATACATTGTTGTAATGAATGGTTAAAGAGCCGTATGCGTCACACAGCGACATCGTTCGTTAAAAATGCCTTCGTGTTCATGGTTTGTTTCTGTTACATTTTTGCCAATACTTTAGCAACTGGCCACCACTAATTAATCGTTTCCCGACTATAAATGCGGATAACTAAAACGCTTTCCACGATGCCCACCGTTCTGGGAACCGGAGCCGTGTAGAGAAGAGGGAATTCGCCCTCCGTATGCGTCTGAACGGAGGTAGCGACTTCTTTCATGTAGTTGCTTGTGTTTACTGGCTCTTCTGCCGGGGCCTCTCCGCGTCTAGGAAAGTAGCGCAGGCCTCCCCTCCTGCCCCGCGCGCCCTCCGCGCTAAGTGGCTGCTTGGATGCGCGGCACGTGGCAGCCGCGTGGGAGCGTGTGGGGGAGTGGCCGGAGGGGGCGGCGCGTGGCAGAAAAGAATGACGCGCGCTGGGTCAAAATGAGCTGGAAGAAAGATATTAAATTAATAAAATATGGATAAAAATAATAAATATCAACATTTAATAAATAAATAGTAATATATAGTTAATAAATTTAAAAAATTAAAAAATAAGTAATAAAAAACGAAAGATAATAAAAAATCAAAATAATAAAATAGAGGGAGATGGAGAAGGAGGTGGATAGAGAGAGAAGGATATAAATGGATGGATGGATGAATAGACTGACAGATGGATGGACGAATAGATAGAGAGAAAGGTAGAGAGAGTAAGAGAGGTTGAGAGAGAGAGAAAGTGAGAGATATTTAAAATTTTTCCATTTTGGAAATGCTAAATATTTGTTGATGGCGATACAATATGTCCTTACAACAAGTTGTTTATTTTTACTAATTAAATAACATAACTGTGAATGGTACTCATTTGCTCATCTTGGGGTAGTAAGGGCTAACAATTTTAGATAGTAAGGATAAACACAACTTGAAATTATTTTTAAACCGGTATTTCTAAAAAAATTGAGATCACTGAAAAAGGAATGAAAACCTCAAAAATATATTTTGTTTTGTATATAAAAGTGAAGTACTTCCAGTTATTATATTCGGATATGTATCACTATGAAAGTAATCACTGGAAAATCAAATCGTGATAGTAGTGAATGTAATATTCGCTTAATTTGGATTTCTTTGAAGCACTTTCATTTCATCAATTTTCGTATAGTTTTTTTATTTCAAAACCTTATATCTTTCATTACTTTATATATCAAGCTTCAATGCTAGTCAAAAAATTCTTCAGTGTATACACTCTGCATTTTATACGGCGTCGGCGTAGGTGAATGGAAAACCACCTTTTGATGCGAATGACTTGAGCGGACCTTACTTTATTACATGTTTGGCTTAAGATACCTAAGGGAAGTCTGAAAGGTATCTTGCCTTTCAAACAAATGTACTACAAATTGAAAACGCGAATTGTTTGAAAGTGTAAATGTTGTACTCTATGACAGTAACTTTGTTAGTGGATTTTGGTGAAGGTGAATCGTCACATCTCAATCTAATCGACGATATAAAATGCATTATGCGTACGTATTTTCTTGAATGACAATCGGTCAATTACGTATTGCGTTAAAGTTATAAAAACGTCAAGCGGAAAAGCACAATCTCAAACCTCACCACAAAACATTTTTTATTAACAAAATGTACACCAATAATGACTTAAGGTTGTAGCAAAACTACATATTGTAATAATATTAACGATAAAACTGCATACTTAACATAAAATTGTAATAATATTGTACGTTAATTTGTTGAGAACATCATTCCAAAATAGTATCCTATCATAATAACGTTGTCGACTTTCATTTAAAGTTTTGCAACATTTCCCTGGTAATATTTTTACCCACTAACAAGTTTTGCGTGTGATCAAAATATCGACTTCTACATCCATGTATAAATATCATATTTCGATGAAATTGAATTGAAATTATGTTTGCAATGGTGACTAGTTCGCAGCTGCATGTAACGAATCCAGTAGTGAACTAATTATTTTACCGTTTTGTACTTCCCTATTTTAGTTATCCGATATGCAGACTGATCAGTCTACGATTCGTATACTAAATTCTGCACTTCATAGAGAGAATTTATTTGATACACATCCTTGATTTTGATTATTAATGCAGAGTAGAGGCGAATGTGATTATCAAATGACGTTGATGAGAATTGGTTCACGATGTGATAACCTATTCATTCTATTACATCGAAACTTCTAAAATAATTTATTCGCATGTGACATTTCATACTCGTTACGCCATTGTGTAATCATTTTTGGATCCTTTTTTGATATCTGAAGTAGGTCAAATTCAATATAGCAAAATTCACTCAAAACATATTTTAACAGAAAACGGTGTAAAGCACTTCTTTGCTAACATACTTTTACATTTTTCTTATTCTATTATCATTTTTTCAAAATGAAATTAAATTTTCTTACTTTAGTATATACGAGCAATGGGCAAAGACTTTTTAATGCTAAGTCACATTTCAAACAACCAAACATATGTTTCATGAATTTTAATATAAAAGACATCGTCATTTCACAATAACTTGCAGTATCTTAACAGCGATTTCAGATCCAATTGAAATAAAAGACTAAAATTTAATGATTTTGTTGTTTTTGATCCTGCATGAGAGTTCTACTGTTTCTTTAGGCGAATCGCATTAAAATCGTTCTTTAATTCTTCGTGTGTGTAATGTTATGTTGTAAATTAAAATGCTATTATTATTCTGAAAGAATCGTGAATTGATTGAATAGAATACTTTGTTTCGACTTTCGTCTATATTTATATATTTTTGTCTTATGCGGTTATGTAACTTTTTTAATTTCAAACTTAAAATGCACTAGCATAGAGATCCTGGGAGATACTAGGAGGTCCCAACTTAGATTGAAGGGTTGTAAGAATACATCTAGCCCTGTATGTTTGCTTGCGGTTTTTCATGTATAATGAAGCTTCAAGCTTTAATTTCATATACATGACGTCTCACAACAGAGCCTTGAAGGAATTGGGGCGGAAACCGGAAAAATACCATGCCTATGTCTAGTTTGTAAAGTTGGTATGTAAAATATTTTTGGGGAATATTGAATACCTTGCGGGAAGTCATCACAAAACGTAAATTATTTCGGACAAACAAAACATTATTTAGATTTTTATTTATTTAATCTGTAAACCGAGATGTAGTTTTTAGACAGACACTAATTGCATGCTGTGTTGAAGAACGGGTTCTTAATGTGACCGAGTCTTTTGAAATAGTACTTATTATATTTTACAATAAACTACGTCAGAAAAAACTTATCTTCTTACTGAAGTATACCATCAAAGTGGGATCTTCTAACCCCAAACACAAGGTTAGGATTTTATAGCTTCCATTCAATTGAACCTACCTTTTGAATTAATGGCATGAAGGTACAATTTAACAACTTTATCAATTTTCACACGACGGTTTCACTGAGATGTCTGGTAGTGTAGAGCATGTAAGTGTATGTATGTGGGTGTGTATGTGTGAGTATGTGTGTACGGGGTGAGGATAGGACAAGGAAGGGAAAGGAAAGGTCGTGCACGTTCTGCGGCCCGTTTGTTAGGGTGCTGCTCGGGCATTCGCCAGGAATTTTTCGGAGAAACCACGGAACATTACCAACCAGTGCACGGCCGCTTGAATTCTTCTCCACACAGCGGATGAATTAGACCCACCTATTAAAAAAATGAAGCCACGAAAATCGACAACATCGAAAATCCTGCCGCCTTCGGGTCTCAGAAGCTAGGATCTCCGGGCAAGCAGGGACTGCAGTGAGAGACTTAGTTATGCTCTGAGTCTAATCAGATGGAAAGAATTAGAAAATACCAATTATTGAACAATGCAGGTTCAATTTGTGAGGGACCAAGCACATTTACTACAGACCACATAAGCGTATGGAAACACAGGTAAATTTCTCTTCTTTCTACCACTGCCTACATCCCCTTTAACCCGCGAACGCGGCTATGGACGTTCCGTTTCCTTAATTATACTGCAGCGAGCATATATCAAGGCGGCTTTTGTGCGGAGACACAGGCCCAAAATATGAATAAACTTATCCAATTGAATGCTGCAGGACACTGCGTGGCCGCGCGAAACCCGATCCCCACCGGGGGGGGGGCTGAGTGAGGGATGCACGCAGTCGTCTTCCCAGCGGCCATTCGCTTCCAGCGGTCAATTAAACGATATTTATTTACTTCATTTGCAGCGTGCGCCGCGCTGGCGAGTTAATGTGCTGAAATATGGTCGAATTCTTTTATCGCAATTAATAGCGCATATTCATTTTGGTCGTGATGAATTCATTTTGGTCGACTCTCTATTATAAAAATGTTTCTTATTAGTTTTCTTTATGCTTCCTATGAGAACTGTTTTCCCACGTCTCTGATTAAATTGCATTCGTATATAGAAACCGATGTATACGAATCACAATATATACCGGGTTCCTGGTGATAAAAAACACATAGAAGTATTCTTTTGATATTCATGAACCTGTGTAGCGATAATGTTTTATGTTTTTTGTACTGATAGTCCACTATAATGAGTTTTTCTAACAGTTTATAAAATATGCGTACTACAATAGATCATTGGCAAAGTAAAATGTTTCGAAATATTGAACTGAATTTAGTTTAGTACTGTTGTTTACATTTTTTCCGTAGTTGATGTCAAAAAACGTAAATAATGCAATCTCGTATAATGTTATATCGTTTAATGACGTTTTGCATGAAAATATCACTTTTTACTTTAAACTTCTTTTATTTCTATTATTATTGTTTTCTTAACAGTAGTATGTTGGAACATATAGCTGTAGCTGCAGTAGCAATAGATACTGATTTATAGTATTTATGATGCTCGTTTAGATTTTGACAGTAATGCCGACGTAATAGGCCCTACTGATGGTACATAAAAGTTCGTGAATAAATATTGATACACATTTTGAGTCAATGTGACTAATGATATTTAACAATGAGGTATAATATTAATTATATTTGTCATCTGTTATTTCGTCATATTTCTTATAATATAAGTGTCACTTTATGAAGAGTAATTGAAATATTAATTTCTACAATAAAATAATCATTATCTCTACCGGCCAATGTTACTACTGGAATTGCCTGATGTACGCAATATTAGTGACTCGGAAATTCAATAACGAAAATTGACATGGATTCGACTGCACAAGAGCGAATACACAAGTTATAATTGTGATCAGCGTTCATTATATCAAATTTAAACGCTATATTTTATTTATTGCAATTTTATTCTGTGAATTAAACGTCGCTTGAATGCAGTGTGCCTTAATTATTTGATAAAATAGCTTTCACCGGAGGCAGAGCTGTCTAAAGTGATAGATTGTGTTAATTACTGCAACGTAATAGTGGCATGGCTGTCTCTGAGAATCGTCGACTCCTGAATGGAATTAATTCGAAATCATTGTCTTTAGTACCTGTGTGGCAAGAGATAAATTCATAAGGTTGAGTTTCCGTTAAAACAATTATCCAATATTTCTCTTAGGAATTCTAACTTACCTGATTTCAATATTTACGTTAAATTAAGTACGCCAGATATATCTAATAGGCGAATTTTATGTCTTCAAATAGTTAAATCCATCTGTTTTTTCTCACACTCCAAAAATTACTTATTAGTTTAGTACAAGTTTATCAATAAAAGTCATTTAAATACTTTAAACATGATTTAATGAATTTAAAGAAAATATAAGTATGTTAATACCTATGCGATTTAAAATATTTAAAAATTAGGTTCTGATGAGAATGATGCTTTCAATGTTATGTAACAATATATATTTTCTTACTTAGAACTCTATTTAATGAAACATTAAAATCAAGAAGGAATATGGTAATTTTTTTCAGTTTTATGTACATAAAAACATTATTTTGTATCGTATCTTTTAAGAGCGTCAATACTTGCCTAATTCAAATTAATTAAGAGATAAACGTACTTGAAGTTCCAGCTAAATATTGATGCGTAGTAATTAATGTATTCAAGAACTTTGAAAAACGGTTATTAAGAGTTTAGTCAGTAATAATTATAAAATAATTTTTAATTGTATTAAAATAATGCATATAATTCAAAATTCGATTTCGATTTGCGCCAGTTGCCCAACCCAAACAGAACGATATACTGTAATAAATCAAATCAACTGCTCACGAGACCGTAGTGTTTCAATGAATTCAACATTTGTTAATTGTATAAGAAAATATTGATAATTTATTGAAAATGACCAAAAATTGTAAACTTCTCTTATGATTTACGATCTTTTACGATTATTTATATAATCGTAAAGATGATAGGCTCTTTCTGAGGACTCTTTCCTTGCGACCGACTCCTAGATTCCGTTTTGTAGGTAAGAGGGAGAATTATGAGGTCAATAGTCCCATTATTACAATAGTAGACAAGAGGAGATGCGAAACTTTATGACTCATGAACCGCTGCACCATTTTAATTCTTTATGATTTGTTGGATTCATCTTCGCCCGAAAGAGCAGAAATCTCGAAAAAGAAGAAAAAACTTCATATTCATGCTAAATGCAATCCGCAGCACACAGCAATATTTTTGACTATGTATCGTTAAACAAAGAGTCCTGGGGCATTAAAAACTACAATTTTGGGACCAAAGACCATAAAGTAACCTTTCTGATATCGTAATCTACTGTACGAGATCTTTACATTTTTGTTGGTTTTCATTTGAATTCATTGCAATTCAGATTTCCATCAAATGGCAATCATACGAGTACGATTAATTTACAAAACAATAGCTCAACCTAGTCTGGTCTTATGGGATTTAACTCTGGGGAACAGCTTCACCATTCAATATAGAAATAATTCCAAAGATTGTCAATCAAATTCTCAGATTATTGAAGCAATGGCCTCGCCTGGTATGTATCAAACGCCACTCTACAATAAGATCTCAAATACTCCCACTGTTAAGAGGTAAATCACTCTCAAAATCTCACAAAGATACCAACCAGAGACCTCGAAAATTCATATTAAATCCAATCTGCCATAAACATCTTAGATAACAGACAATGACAAGAAGATGAAAAAGAGTACATCTCTTGATCGTGACCACGGATATAAATAATATTTTACTTTGAAAATATTTGTTACTGTAGATAATATGTTTGTTCACAAGGCCTTGCACTAATGTATGTTTGTTTGTTATTGTGTTATTGTCATTTCAGATGTGATGTTTGTATTTTGTTTTCTTGTTTGTTTTTTTTCTCTCTGAAATTGGACAATTAGTTTAAAACCATTTTAGAAAGAACCAGATTGGATGCGTTTCTTTACATGTCAATAAATGTATGTACAATTGTATTTGCCGAATGTTCGAGTAGAACAAATTGCAAATAAAGCAGATGTTAAAAAAAAATACGAGTACGAGCTTCAGTGTGGTTGTCTGTCGCCGTGTGTCCAGGGAAGGCGTCGAGCAGGACAGAAGGAGCTGGGGAACATCGTAGTGGGAGCTAATGTTGTGCTGTGAGACAACAGCGAAGGGACGATTGCTGCATGAGATCAACCAATTCGTAAAAGCGCCGATAGAACGAAGAAATGACAGCGGGGCGGTGCCATTGCACAGATTCAACTGAGAGTTCTATCGGAACTGCACTAACGTTAGTGACGAACGAACGGACGAATGTTACTCGAGCTGTTGTAAGTAAAATGTATTGTCATAAAAAATGTGTCTGTCAATCCGTCTGTTAGAACCGATTTAACTTTAAGAAAACTGATTCTACAATCTCGACATGTAAACACATTACAGAGACTATCCTTGGACAAAGTTAGTTTTTGTTTTACAGTGATATCCCTAAAGATTCCGAATATTCCGCTCAAGCACTGTCTTTCTAAGTTTCGTGCACCTGGCGAATGGATATCGCGAAAGTGTATTTTTTGTTTCAGGTTATCTGATATTTGTGTTGACAAAAGCAAAAAAGGTTAACGGTCATTTGTTTTTTTGTGCGAGTGTTATTAATAAATCTTATTGTACGAATATTTGTATTATAATGTCGTGACCTAGAAGATCTAATCTTTCCCAACAACGCCGTAAAGCAATTAGGCTTCGGAACATTGCCAATCAATGAAGAAGAACGAGAAATCGCACGACAAGAGTGCCGCGATAGTATGGCCCGACATCGCGCTTCTCAAACACAAGAGCAAAGAGAGACAGACGGGGAGAGGGAGACAGACGGAGAGAGAGACAGACAGACAGACGGAGAGAGAGACATACAGACGGAGAGAGAGACAGACGGACGGAGAGAGAGACAGACAGACGGAGGGAGAGACAGACAGACGGAGAGAGACAGACAGACAGACGGAGAGAGATGCAGACAGACAGACGGAGACAGAGGCAGACTGACAGACGGAGAGAGAGAGAAAGAGAAACAGATGGAGAGATAGAGACAGACAGTCGGAGAGAGAGACACACGGAGGGAGAGACACACAGACAGACGGAGTGAGAAAGAGACACAGGGAAATGGAGAGACAGATGGAGAGAGAGACAGATGGAGAGAGAGACAGATGGAGAGAGAGACAGATGGACAGACTGACAGATGGAGAGACTGACAGATGGAGAGACTGACACACGGAGAGAGGTAGAAAGACGAATATAGAGAGAGATAGTCGGAGATTGAGAGAGACAGACGGAAAGAGGTAGAAAGACGAATATAGAGAGAGATAGTCGGAGATTGAGAGAGACAGACGGAGAGAGTTAGAAAGACGAATATAGAGAGAGATAGTCGGAGATTGAGAGAGACAGACGGAGAGAGAGATAAAGAGAGAAACGGAGAGACGAAGAGAGAAAGAAGGAGGAAAGGAGGAAGCGGGAGATGAAAATCAGAACAACGTCTCCCGGGTATCGCTAGTTTAATTATTAGTTTGTTTTTTAACATTCTAAAAAAAGGTACTACATGTTTCAAATTTTCTCTTTAAGTAAAATTATAACACGTAAGATATTTTGAAAATAGGCGCCACACTCAGAATATTATCTGAGGATTGACATTTCTATATTACACGTTATATTTAAACAAAATATTTATGAATGAATTATTGATAATTCTTATAAAAGTATTCATAATTTTTAAATTGGGAATAAACTGGGTTCAATTTATATCTGTAATTTTTGTTCTCTGTTGTGTCCTCTCCATGGTTTAGGTGTGTGCCTCCTAAAGATAAATACCAAAAGTATCTCCGATCCTCATCATACTACGTTGCGCCGCCTCTCGGCACGTCGTGAAAGGAACTCAACTCGACAGATTGGAGGGGTTTGACACATTAATGATAACGGGCGCGTCAACTGATTAGGTCATTATTCCCCTCACTGTAAAGATGTTTAATCGCGGGAGGTGGCAATGGTCTTACCTTGCTGGTTGACGAGCTTCGGCGCTGACCCACGTCGGTTTGCGGGCTTCATTGGGGCGAGAGCGCTAGAC